AGCTCTGAGTGGCAGGCGGGGTGGGGATGAAGGTGGGAAAGAGCTTGGAAAGGCAGGAGACCCTTGACAAAGGAAAGGAAACGTTCAGACGGCCTCTGAGTTCCTGAGCCTGGAAATCCCTGTGTATTTCTTCATATCCCATCTGTTTCCTGAGACGGCCTTTCCCCCTCAGCGCTCTCACTGTCCTTGATTTTTTCCCCTTTTATCTTTCCCAAACTTTTTTATCCACAGCGATTCCCCCCCCCCTTACCACCCCCCCCCCCATCATCGTCTCCATTTAATTTAATCACCTTTTGCCGACTCATTCGGGAAGTGGGCATTGATGAGGGCAGGGGCTCTGTCTTTCACTGTTGTGTCGCCAGTACCTGGCATGTAGTAGGTGCTCGGTATGTATTTGCAAACTGGAGGGACAGCCTGCCCTTACCACCTTGGGACCTTGTGGTTGTCCTAGCCCCACCAGCCTCGGGCCATCAGGATCAAGCCCACAGTCTGACAAAGCAGGTGTTAGCACATTGCACCAGGAGCCCCGGGCAGCTCACCTGTAAAGGTAAGAGTTTTCATAGGATTTCTGGAACAGTGAGGTGACATGAAGCAGTGTTTGGGCTGCTCTGTGCAAAGCAGGGCCATATGTGAAGGGCCAGCGTCAGGTCTGGGCTGCAAAGCGGGCCTGGCTCCCGTTCCCTTAGCAACCACCAAGCCAAGGCTCTGTGGGATGTTGTGCTCTGCACCCGGGCTGGAAATCCAGGCTCTTTTTTTTTTTTTCCTTAAGTAATCCCAAACTCACAAAGCTTTGGCTAATTTTATTTATTTATTTTAAATGTTTTAATTGATTTTAGAGAGGAATGGAGAGGGAGATAGAGCATTGATGAGAGAGAAACATCACTTGGCTGCCTCCTGCATGCCCCCTATTGGGGACTGAGCCCAAAGCCTGGGCCTGTGCCCCGACTGGGAATCAACAGGTGACCTCTTGGTGCACAGGATGGTGCTCAATCCACTGAGCCACCCCAGCCTGGCCCAGGCTCTTTTCTGGCAAAGTGATTTACATACTCTAGGAGGGAGCTGGGAGTTTCATTCTTCCTGAGAATTTCAAACAGCAAAGTTTCTGCTAATCTAGGATTTTAGAGTTCACAGTTCTCTTTGAGTAAAAGAGTCCTTCCTTAAAAAGGGGACTGTTATACACTACAGCTTCAGCTGGGTGTCCTTGAGTAATACCGTCCCTGTGAACTTGGCAGCCGGCTTTGTCAGTATCGCCACTTCGGCCTGATGAATGGCCCAGGGACGCTGTGGTGCTCTCTCAGTCTACCGGGCAGGACAAGTCTTTGTGGGTTCAGTGTAGGGATGGGCTGGAGAAGGCAAAGATGCCAGGAAGGAGGCTGCTACTTCGGTCTAGGTCTAGCCTGGACCTATATAGGGGAGTGGGTGGATGCAGGACATAACTTGGAGGTAAAACAGATTTAGTCAGTAATGGAACATGGGGAGGGGGTGGGGAGGAGACATCCTGGGTGGTCCCAGGTCTCCGACTTGGCCATGGAGGGAGGTAAACAGGAGGGAAGTGGCTGCGTTTGGGTTCAGCTGGGCTGCATGTGATGGGCAGCCTGTGGAGATGTCGGATAAGCACCTGGACGTGCCTGTCAGGGTGCAGGCTATATGACCAGCTGGGTGTGCAGGTTCGGGGGCCAGCACTGCGGAGAGGTGGGGACTGAAGTCATGAGGAAGGATGTTATCTCAGCAGGACGTGCGGGTGAGAAGACGAGATGGCCGGAGGGAGCAGCATGAGGAAGTCCAGTAGAGCAGGATCCGGGAAGGACTAAGTGAAAACCTACAGGGAGAGGGGAGGAAAGCCAGGAACTGAGCGACCTGGAGGCCCAGGAAAGAGAGCTTGAATAGGGAGGCAGGAATGACTACTGGGAACCACTGCATATCGGGGCTGAAAGTGCCGATACGTGACAGGGATTTAGTGGCAGGGCCCCTGGGGCCAGGTTTCAGTGGTCTGGGGACTGAAGGGAAGGTGAAGAAATGGGGACAGCAGTCTTGAGACTTGTTGGAGTGGAGGCAGGGTGGGTACTAGCTGGAGAAGGGCATGGGGCTCAAGGAAAGTGTGTTCAGCAAGACTGGAGAGACTTGAGCACGTTTAAATGCTACTGGGAAGGGCTGGCAGGAAAGAACGCAGGCAGGACTTAGTTACCAGTGTTACCAGACGGGGACCTGGCCCTGAGCTGGTGGTGTGTGTGTTCTTGACTTCGTGTTTGCAAAATTTCACAACGCGAGTCCGAGTGAGTATGGGGGTACATTTATTAAAGCTGGGGACAATCAAACAAAGAAGAGCTCAGGGTAGAAGAAGCAACAGCAGAGAGCCTAGGTGGGGCTGCTTTAGCTCACTAGGAAGTCAGAAGGGGGCCCTAGAGACAGGTTCAGGGTTAGCCTAGGATGGCTGCCACTGCCCATTGCTCCTCTGGTTGCCGGCCTCATGGGGTCCCTTAGAGTTTAGGAGATGCGTGTCTATGCGGGAAGAGGATGGGGATGGCACAGGTGTGCTCCCCAGAGGGAGTACCCGCCAACCCCCCAAACTGAGTCCTTTGTCTTGAGACTTTTTTTAAAAATATATTTTATTGATTTTTTACAGAGAGGAAGGGAGAGAGATAGAGAGTTAGAAACATCGATGAGAGAGGAACATCGATCAGCCGCCTCCTGCACATCCCCCACTGGGGATGTGCCCGCAACCCAGGTACATGCCCTTGACCGGAATCGAACCCGGGACCTTTCAGTCTGCAGGCTGACACTCTATCCACTGAGCCAAACCGGTTTCGGCTGTCTTGAGGCTTTTATTCTCTTTTGCAGGGCGGGAAGATTTAGGGGGAGGTCTCATGAGGAGGAGTTTCAGCAGGTTATTCATCAGTTTTCTTAGGTGTGCGCCTCCAGGGTGGTGGTCTCCACTGATTGGTCAATGTCAGGGCAGGGCGTCCTTAGCCACTGCAGCTGACCCTGGCTTCATCCACCTGGTTTTGCTGCTTTTCTGGGTCTGGAGTTGAACTACAACTGAGGCCCAGAGGTCATCTCTAGGGAGGTGACCTTCTCTATCTGCTGTAAATGGGTCTGCCAGTTTATTCAGCCATTTGTCTCAGTTTCCCTGTTCCACGTGTCCTGGCTCACTGGCCTGTCATTCCTGGGGGAGGTAAGGGGTGGCCTGTGGAGCCCGGCTCTGGTTAGGGGTTTGTACTCTCTTCAGGTGGGAGAGGGCTCCTGGCCCAGAACCAGTGGTGAGGCGAGAGGGGGATCAGAGGAGAGTGGTGTGGGTCTTAATCCAGGGGGCCTAGCAGTAGAGGGTCCCGCAGCTGGGTTACCTGCCTCTCTTTTCTTTCACTATGTCTCCATTTTAGCCCACTCTTCTCCTCGGGTTATCTTCAACCCCATGGGCAGTCTGTTTCCCATCTGCACGCTCATTTCCAGCCACACCCCCTTCCCAGCCACACCCCTGCATTTCCCACAGCCCAGCTCCTGTTTCTACTCCAGCCCAGACACCCGATCCCTCCCCAGGTTGGCTGCCCTGGACTCTCCCCTGAATTACCAGCTTCTGTCTTCCCCAGTTCCCACTCCAGCTGCACTAGCATAACTCCCTCCACTCCCACCTGCAACTTCCTTCCCGAAACCACTGCGGGTCCCACCTACATCCCGGCCCCGCCCAGTCTGTGGCCCCGCCAAGGCCAGCCCATCCCCCATGATCTGCATCGCCATTGGCTGACTCCTTCATAGGACTCCGCCCCCTCGGCCTCCACTTCTGCCATTGCGGCAGATAGACGCCCGTCAGCGTCGTCGCCTGGCAACAGGGCTGGCCGCTCCAGGGGGAAAAATCCTTGAACAGCCCGACCGACCGGAAGGCGAGTCCAGTTTTCGGAGCTGGGAAGGTGAGTTTAGTTCCGCGACGATGGAGGGCAGAGGTGAGCGGAGAAAAGAGGCGCTGGCTCTGTGGCCTGGAGGCGGGGGCAGCGATCAGGGGCAATGACGCTGGTCCTGGGAGCGAAGCTACCCCGAGTCGCCCGGGCCCTGCACCTCCCTGCCACGGGCACTAGGTGGGGGGAGGTTAGGGGCGATGGGGGACAGCTTTGAGGGATGGAGGGTCTCTCCTTGGCGTCAGAGCACACAGTCACCCCGCACCTTCAGCCTTTCGTTTGCTGGAGAGAAAAGCTTCCCAGCAGGCGCCACTCCAGGGCCGAGGCCACTGTCTGGAAGGGTGAGCAATGAAGCTGGTATGGACACGGGAGGGACAGGGGAACGGCTGTGGGAGGAGGAGTCAGGAGGTTGAGGTGGACTGGGGGGGAGGGGGAGGTGGAGGAGAAGGGGGACCTTCCTTCTCGCATTCTGATCACAGCCTACTAGCTTTCCCCAGGTTAACCGAGTCTGATCACTAAATTCAGGGCAGAGGGGAGAGGGAAAGAGAGCACCCTCTGCTGACACCTCTGCAGATGAGTCCAGTGGGGCTCTCTGGGGGAGGAAGCCGGCCTTTGCAGGACAGTGCACCTTCCGGCCAGCGGGACTCTGCGGCCTGAAAGCTGGCTTGGGTCCAAGCCGACCTTCTGCAGAAGGGCTGCTGGTTCTGGGCCATAAGCAGGGCTTGGAATGCTCCTGTCCCAATGAGGCAGTTGGATTCTTCCCAGAAAAAGGGGTACTTGAGGGTCAGGTCACCACTCTCAAGACCGTGGCCCCTTGAGGTCGGGGGTTAGAGATTGACAAGCCAGGGTGGAGAGCATCCCCAAACGAGCCAGTTGGAGAGGTTCTGAGGGGTTGACAGCTATCCTAGGACGCCCGTCCATTCAGCAGACAAGGGCTCCCGCCCCCTCCCCTGCACTGAGGGAGTTTGTTTCTTCCAGGCTGTTTCTCTTGTTTCAAGGCAAGAACTCAGTCTTCCCTTGTGGGCTCATCTGTGTCTGTCTCTGGCTCCAGAAAGCAGAATTAATGCCCTATGTTAACCTCACTTAACCCTTTTCACCTCATTACAGGGTTGGTGGCACTTCCTCCATTTTACTAAGGTTAAAAGGCGTAGTAACTTGCCCTGGTCATACAACCAACAAGTGTTGAACTTGAACTCAGAGGTGCCCATCTTTGTTACACCATCACTTCAGAGCCTGGGGCCCTGCGCTGGGGCGAGTGTTCTGGGTACGATTCAGTGCAGTTCCGTGTGGACTCTCCTGCTCTGCCCCGTGGCCCGGTCCTTGGAAGCCAGGATTCCTTGCCCTCTGCCCTTCTGACATTTAGGGCCAGGGAATTTTTTGTGGGGTGGGCCTCCTGTGCACTGTAGGATATTTAGCAGCAGCACCCCTGGTTTCTACTCGCCAGATGCCAGCAGTGACCCCCTTTGCAGTTGTGACAACCAAAAATCAACTTGCCAAATGTCCCCTAGAGCAGCGGTCACCAACCGGTGGTCCGCGGACCACTGGTGCTCCGTGAGGTCCGAAAGGTTGGCGACCGCTGCCCTAGAGGACAGAACCACCCCCAGCTGAGAACTAATGGGGTGCGCAATCTTGGAGTAACATTGTGGTGCGTCCTCCTGAAAGAGAACTTGGTGTAGGAACCTACAGGAGACGCCGGCCAGCGGAGGGTGGCTGTGTGCACAACTTGCCAGGAAAAAGCCGGTGCCGCATGGCGAGCTGCACCTGGGGCAGTCCCATGCGAAAGCCATTGCTGGGACTGAAAGAAAGCCCAGGAACTTGCATTTGGGGAGAAGTAAGGACGCATAGAAGGCCTTCTTGTCCTTCCCAAAATTGGTTAGAGCAGCGGTTCTCAACCTGTGGGTCGCGACCCCTTTGGTGGTCGAACGACCCTTTCACAGGGGTCGCCTAAGACCATCCTGCATATCAGATATTTACATTACGATTCATAACAGTAGGAACATTACAGTTATGAAGTAGCAACGAAAATAATTTTATGGTTGGGTCACAACATGAGGAACTGTATTTAAAGGGCCAGAAGGTTGAGAACCACTGGGTTAGAGATTTCTGGCATGTTCACAGCGATTGAGGCTGGGATGGATGAACGGGGACACTTTGTACCGTTACTTCCTCTGGTCTTGCGGGAGCTCTTTAAAAAGAGGTGTTTTGAGATGTGTCCCTTCTCCAGTGCCCTGCAGGCTAGGAATGGTGGGGCAGGGGGAGGGCATGTTGTTAGAAGCTGCCCCTCCTCCCATAGGCCTGGAGCTCCTATTTGAGGCTGCTACACACACACACTCCTTCCTACTATAAAAACTGGTGTTGCCTCAGGGCCTATCCTGTGTCTCCAACGGGCACTGCCGCCGCCCTGTGCCCACCCACAAGCTGATGGCCAGCACCTCTCCTGAGCATTGCCCTGCCTTGGCTGCTTGCCCAGCCTTTCCTCTCTCACAGTGTTTGGGCACTGGGCAAGACTGGCTGGGCACTGGGCAAGTGTTGATTTGTTTTCAGACAACAGTGGAGGGACTTATTTCCTGTGGGACAGAGGAGGAGGTGGGGTGCAGACAGAAGTCCCCTTGCTCTGTAGTCCCTTTAGGTACCTTCCCCACGCCAGGCCTCACCTCACTGATCTCGGGGTTCACCCCACACCCAGGTGAGCCTCCTGTGGGTGCCTGAAGACCCAGCCAGAGCCTGTCTCGACTCCTGTGTTCTCACCCCGATCCCCACTGACCCTGCGGCACTTGTCTGCCTCTCCCTGTTAAACAGGAGTTTCTGCAGGCCCAGGCCTGCCTGAGGCTTCTCTCCGCCACCCGCTCTCTCTGACAGCCCAGCCCGAGAGATGCTGAGCTGTTGATTGAAGGAATAGATGCATTTGCTGAATCAGGAAGTGTCCTGCACGAGGCGGGACCTGTGGCCCCTTAGTGGCACAACCCCTGGGTACACTACCAGCTTCCGAGGAGTGGCATTTAAAAGTTGGTGACCTTTTCGCCCCAGTCAGTAGGGCAGAGGCTGAGAAACCCCTTACTGAGGCTGGTGTCCCTAGTAGAGCAAATCCTTGGTTTTGAGCAGGGAGGGAGCTTGCTCAGGGTTCCGAGAACCTGAGGTGTGGCACTTAGATGTCTTCATAGGTTAAGGAGAAGCCGGAGGGGGCCTCATCTCGAGATCCTGGCCTTGCTGTGAGCTCTCCCCAGTGGATCTGGGCTTTGTTGTTCTTCAGGGTGGGACGAATCGCTTCCTTGTCTGTGCCGAGTCCCTGCCGTGGTCTCGGCCTGACAGGCCGTGGGGTACAGAGATGATGCACCCTGGAGCCATCCAGTTGTGAATGGGAGAGAGAGCACTGATCCAGGGGGCCCCTGAGTGCTGTGGGCCCCTGGGAGCGAGACCCATAGGAGCTGAGCATGGGGTGCTTGGGCCTTCTCAGGACCTCGGCCAGGCCAGCCTCCCGGGGTTTACGCCTGGGAGCCCACAAGGAGGGGGGAGAATGGGTTGGTCCGCCTGAGAGGCCAGCAAAGGAATGACACATCCCGTGGCTCATGCGCCAGGTTGGCTTAGGTGCTGGGCAGGTGGCTGTGGGGCAGAATCTCTTTTGTGACTCAAATTCTAGCCAACCAATTAGCCATGAACCTGGGTGCTGGAGGTGGGGCAAGCAGATGAGCAAGCAGGCCTGTCTCCATTTCAGTTAAGGTAATGGTCAGTTCTAGGAAAGTCACATGCCGGGTGGTCTCGGAACCCGAAGGCTGAGTGATGGTGAGGTGTGCAAGGTGGACAGGGAGGGCCCTTCGAGCCAGACGAGGGGCAGGAAGGACCTGGTGCCCAAGTGGGCCTCATGCATCTGTGAGGCTGGCCGTGGGAGCCTGCCAGGAGGGCGCAGCCTGGAGAGTTCAGCTTTGATGTGAAGCTGTGCTAATGTCCCAGGTGTCAGGGAGCTCTTCATCTCTTCCAGCATTTAGGTGAGCCGTGGCTTTCTCATGTCACAGCCGTACGGTTTTCTAGAGGAAGGAAAAGTGTGCTCTTTGCTATGAACACCCCATCCATCGAAGAAGGAGATGAATTCACTAGGGTTCATTTTTGTACCATTTTCAGGATTTCAGCAGAATAACAAGATAGGACGCAGGGAGAGTCGTGTGACAAAACTTCTGGTGACCTGATAAATTGACACAGATTTTGAGTGACTTGAATTATTTGGTTGTGGTGTGTGTGTGTGTGGGGGGGGGGGGAGTATGAATCTAAAAATGCTTTTGACTGTCATGATTTACCTGTGATATATGTCAAGCTGTGACAGAACAGAGCAAAAGCAGGACCAGGCTGTACAAAGATATGATCACGGTGCCTGCTCCCCAGATACCCCCGCCCCTCCTGGTAAACTCGAGCCCTGCAGCATCCTTCCTGATGCTAGCTGTAGTCCCTTTCTGTTCTTCCTGCGTCTTTGTTAAACATTAAGACACCCAGTCACTGATTTGCACCCAGTCCAGACTGAACCCTGCCTTCCCTGAACCTTCCAAGAAGGCAGCCCCAACGCCATCCCAAGCCCCCTCACATGCTCTAACCAAGACCCCCCACACTTCCTGCAGCTCCTAGGAAATGCAGCTTCTTGCTCGTCTTCAGGGGGCAGCGGCATACTTTCCATTGTGTTCCTCCTGGGCATCGCCTTAGAATGTTTCATGAAGCGAACAGCGTGCAGGATGTAGGACATTCACCTCAGAATCAAAGACGTGTGTGCCCTGCTTCTCCCTTTGCTTTGCACTCTTTCCCGCTCTCTGCTGGGATCGGTGGTATTTAAACACCATGATGATGGCTCATCCCCTAACCCAGTCTTAAATGATCAGGCTGTTTCTTGGGGCTCTTAGAATAATGGACGGAAGAGGACGGGCCAGTCTTGGCGTGGCTGCTTGAATTGTGCCCCTGGAGGGGACTAGGGGCAGCTGTGGTTAGAGATAGTAAAGCCGCATGCAGGCTGGACCTTGAGCCAGGGCCCCGGTTTCCTTATCGGCTCTTACGCTGCTGAGAAACTTGAGGAGTGGAAGTATTTAGATCAGATGGCCCGTGAGTGACAGCCCTACCCTGGGCTGCTAAGGCCTCGTTTGCAGCCTGCGTCTGCAAGTGCTCTGTCGTCCCTCCCTGGTGCCTCTGCTGGAGCCTTCCCGTTCGGGCCGGCGGCGCCCCCTGCCAGGATGGCAGTGATAAAAAAAATGATGGAAAAAACAACAAGAACGTTGGAGAGGATACAGTGAAATCGGAACATTGTGTTTTGCTGTTGGGAACAGAGAATGGAAAACAGTTGGGTGGTTCTTCAAAAGTTAAACATCAGATTACCATAGGACCCAGCAACTCCACTCCAAAGTCTGTACCCCCAAAGCTTGAAAGCAGGGACTCAAACAAGTACTTGTGAATATTGCTGCTAAGAACATGCAAGTACTATATCTAAAAGGAAGAAACAGCCTAAATGTCCATCAACAGATGGATGGATAAACCAAACGTGCTATCTCCACACACTGGAATATTACTCAGCCATGAAAAAGGAACACAGTGTAACAGGATGAGCCTCGAAAACACTCTGTTGAGTGAAAGAAGCCAGTCACAAAAGGACACATATGCATGATTCCATTAAATGGAAAGTCCAGTGTAGGCAGGTCCCGTAGAGGGGTGAGCAGTTAGTGGCTGCCAGGGGTTGGGGGGGAGGAATGGAGAGTGACTAGTCATGGTTACAAGGTTTCTTCGGGGCACCACGGAAATGCTTTGGAACCATGGAGAGGTGGTGGTGTACAACATTGGGAATGTACTAAAGGCACCGAGTTGTATCCTTTAAAAGGGTGAGTTTTATGTTAAGCGAGTCTCACCTCAACAAAAAGAAAGAAAAGATCCCAACTGTCCTCCATTTCCCCTTGGGGTTTTGAACAGCCGGGACCTGCGGGGCCTGTTGCACACACTTGGCGCCCTCTGAGATCGCTGCCCCGCCCTCGCTGTCCTGGGGGGAGCTGGTTGACACGTGCGGTTTATGGAGTGCTTGTCTCTCCAGCGCTTTCACCAAAGCGAGTTTCCAAATGAAGTTTAGGATAAGAATTAAGAAGTCACAGCACTTGCCCCTTAAGAGATTTTTTTTTTTCATCTGACTTAGCTTTTCTCTCTGAATCCATGGATCTGTAACGAGGTCTATGATAATGAACAAAGGTCACCTGCTTTGGGGTACTAGTCTGTGCAAACTCCTGAGCTCATTGGCTGGATAATTTAATTATCACAATGATCTCTGAGGTATGGCTGTGATTTATTTATTATTATTATTTATTTATTATTATTTTTGTTAATCCTCACCCACCCCCATTGATTTTTAGAGTTTTAGAAAGAATGGGAAAGAGAGTGGGAGGGAGAGAGGGAGAAGGAGAGAAAGAGAAACACCAATGTGAGGAGACACGCACCCCGATGGGGTGGGAGGGTCGGGGACCGAACCTGCCATCCAGGTATCTGCCCTTGACTGGGAATCGAACCTGCAACCCTTGATGGGCAGACCGATGCTTTAACCACTGAGCCACAGAGTTCAGTAGTTTGCCCAAGGCTGCACAGCTAGGGAGAGGCTGAGCCACGCTCACAGGGGAAAACTTGTCACACAGCCTGTCCCCTTTGTCCATGATATTTTGCAGGTGCTGATTGTATTCGAATACATGTGATCATCCAGACAACAGGTTTTTAAAGTTTTAAACTCAGATTAAAAAAAAAGAATATTTAAATTAAATTCCTGGGCTTTTTTCTACTTCTTAGTTACATTAACTTGAGAACTGTGTTTTCAAATAGAGAAATCTAAACTGGCAATTATGGGCATGTTTTCAGAGATCGTAGGAATCAGGATTGGGTTTTCATACTTAATGATACTGACTATCAAGTTCCACCACATCGAAACAGCACGACCTGGCTCTGATGCGTTTTAGCCGCATTTTACAGCTAAGTCAACGTTTATTAACTTGATGGTGTAATTATCAACGTTTACTTTCTATGGTTATGACATTCTGATTTTTCTCTCTACCTTGGTCCCTTCTCCTTCTGCAGAGAACCCTGCCAGCAATAAGGCAAGATGGGGAGCAGCGGGAGCCGCCTGGGGCAGAGTGTGTGTTCGCAGTTTCTTCCTGAGGAGCAGGCGGAGGTGGACCGGTTGTTTGATGCCCTGTCACCGGAGAAGAGCAGCTCAGCCTCGCCCAGATCCTTTTCTCTGAAGGCACTCGAGGCAAGAGTCACAGCCATCAATGGGGCCTAGTCCAGAGCGGGAGTCTGCAAACCATGGCCCCCGAGCCAAAATCCGCTCTGTTTTTGTAACTGAACTTTAACAAGGTTCTTCCCTGTCAGGGTCAGGTAGTATACATGCTCAGTGTTGTAGACTCCTGTGGTCTCTGTCGCAGCTACTCTGCTCTGCCTTCGTCTCACCGTTCTAATGAGATTGAACAAAGGGGCCAGCCCCGCTTCCCGTCTCCGGACCTGTCGGGTTCATCGGTCCAGTAACTGCTCAGGGTTCCTTTTGCCGTTAGGGTTTGTTAAGGGTTTGATGTTCTTTTTGCCCTTAGGCTTTGTTAGGTGTGTGAAGTCCTAGGGACTTTATGGTTCGCCTAAAAAACAACGATGTTTCAAAGTCAAGGTTCATCGGACAAGGAGTTAAAATGCCTGTTTCCCCACCTTTTTGCCTTGTTCCCTGGGGGCTTTCACTGCCTGTCTGAGTGCTCAGACTGAGGGGAGACACCGGCAGAGACGACATGGGCTCCTGTGCCTGGGCCGTGGGAGGGAAGGCCCTGTGTGAGGCGCTCTGGAAGCCTCCTCTTCTAGCGCATGCAGAGCGGGAGCCGATGGGCATCGGGGATCCCCCCGCATACTCCCCTCACAGATGAGCAAACTGGCCAGGGAGGTGATGTGGGTCACAGCCGTGTGGGGTACTAGTATGTGTGTGCATCTGTGTGTGCACAGGTGTGTCCACTGGACCCAAATCACCCCCATCTGCCTGGTCACCCACCATGCTGGAGCAGACAGAACCAGACTAGACTGAACTGCACGGTGGGTGGCAACATTCCTGTGTTTGTTGAGAGAAATATGGCTCGAGTTGATCGGAAAGCCTTGGTGACTATATAGTTTCCGTTGGGAAGGAATTGGAGATTGCTTTTCCAGCAGACATCCAGAAACAGACGGAAGGAGATATACTCCTTTTGAGAGTCAGGGTGGGGACCAGCTTTACAGGAACTGCAGAGCATCGCTGTGTCACAAACGGTGTAGTAATGTGAGTGGTTCCAGGAGGCCGTGTGCAGATCCCACCAGGGTGGAAGTTCGTGATTGGCTTTCTCTCACCATTTATTTTAAATCTCTGGACCAAATCTGATCTGACGTCAGTCAAAAGGAAAGCGGTATTTACAGAATGTTATTGGCAAGACATTAATTAAGAACTAGGTTTTAAATTGAAATAAACATTAACTTAAAATGCATGTTAAGCACACACAACTTAGATAAGAAGTGAAAGCCAACTACTATGTTTGGAAGTCCGTAAGATAGAGGAGACCAGATTAGCTACAAATAGACATATGCACCATATGTTAATAAATTGAGACGTGCAAATGGCAGCTGTCCGTGTAGGAGGAAGGAGATGTTCTAAGCAGAGTGAAGAGCAGACGATGGCCAGACGTAGGCATGACATGGCCAGCCATGGGGAGACTGGGAAGTTTGGAGAGAGGGGAACAAATTGTGGAAGGACCTGAGGGCCACGACGAGCCACAAGCCGGGGCACGTTATGCATGTGGGACCTTGGTGACGTGAGGCCCTTCGGTGGGGGAGCGATGGTGCGTGTGAGGATCTGGGACGGCTACGTGCTGGTAAAAGCATCGTGGCCTGGCAGTGGTAGGTCGTGGTCCCTCGTTACCATGTTTAACTTGGAGCCTGTCTAGCCCTTTCTCCTCCTCGCCCTTCACAGAGCCACATCGGGGAGGCGCTTCCCCCAGAGATGGTCGCCCGACTGTATGACGGCATGCGGAGGGTGGACCTGAGGAGACCGGCGGAGGGGCCCAGCGAGAGCGTCTCCCAGGAGCAGTTCACAGTGTCGATGTCCCACCTGCTGAAAGGGAGCTCCAGGGAGAAGAGTTTCATGATCCTGAAGATGATTTCTTCCACAGATGGTCCCGTGAAAGCACAGGAAGTCCAAAAGGTAGGGAGGCCCCAGGACCATTGCAGCCCTCAGGTGGCCTCGGTGTCCGTCAGAGGGGGACTCGGGGGTAAGCCGCTGGTGGAAGCATCAGAGATGCCCACCTTTGGGGAAGCCTAGGTCACATAACCGGTGGACAAAGGCCTTGGCAAAACCAGACCGGCCGAGGGATCATTAGGAAAATGAGTAACTACCCAGGTTACATGATTTTCCCCCAATGTGGCCATTGCAGTTGGCATTAAAGAGATAAAACACCCCCCCTTGCAGATAGGACGTAGGTCACTGGTCCTGGTAGAAATGTCATTCATGGTGAAATTGTAACCTTCAAGTTTACAGAGGATCTCGTCGGCTCCCTGGTGCACGTGCTGAGCCACAGGCAGGAGCTGAGAGGCTGGGCGCAGAAGAGCGCTCCCGGAGCCCCGTCCAGGGTGCAGGCTCTGGCTGAGCAGCTGCTCTCCGAGGTGAAGTTTGCAGGCAAGTGCCCTGCGCGTGCCCGCACTCCGAGGCCTTGGTGGCGGACAGTGGTACCATCTGTCTCGATACTGTAGGCTTGCAGTCAAGGTTTGGAATCAGAAAATGTGAGTCTTCCACCTTGGGAAGACTGTGTAGATCAGTGGTTCTCAACCTTCTGGCCCTTTAAATACAGTTCCTCATGTGACCCAACCATAAAATTATTTTCGTTGCTACTTCATAACTGTAATGTTGCTACTGTTATGAATCGTAATGTGAATATCTGATATGCAGGATGGTCTTAGGCGACCCCTGTGAAAGGGTCATTGACCGCCAAAGGGGTCTCGACCCACAGGTTGAGAACCGCTGGTGTAGATTGTCAGATTGGTTGGCATATCACTGTTCATAGTATTTCCCTATAATCCTTATGCTGCAGGTTGAGGTGAGTAACTATAAGGACAAGTGGTCGCCCACTAATACTGTCTCCCCTTCCCTAGACGGCGAGAAGCTGCTGGGGCCTGAGCAGCTGGACTATGACTGTGACCCCGCTGTGATCGAGGACTGGGTGTTCCGGGCCCACCTGGTGGCCACGTTCCTGAGTGTGGTCATCCACAGGGGCTTTGGCCTGCACTGGCCCCTCGATCTGTCCACGCTGGTCCCCGAGCGTCAGGTTGACCAGGGGCAGGAGTTTGAGAGCGTCCTGGACCTCCTGTCGGTCATCTACGTCAACTCCCACCTGCCCAGGGAGCAGCAGCACCGCTGGCACCTGCTCTTCTCGTCCGAGCTCCACGGCCACAGCTTCGCCCAGCTCTGTGGGCGCGTCCCACACCGGGGGCCCTGCCTGCTGCTCCTCGAGGACCTCGACGGCCACGTGTTCGGTGGGTTTGCCTCCTGCTCCTGGGAAATCAAGCCTCAGTTTCAAGGTGAGACGTGGCCACCGAAACCCAGCGGTAGCAGGGTGCGCGTCAGGAGTTCTGGTCAGACGGCTGCGGCCTGGGGACCCCTGAGCACCGGCAAAGGGTGTGGGTGTTCAAAGGGTGAGCCTTTCTTCCGGCTGCTCCTCCACGTGTTTGCCCAGCTGTGTCTGGGAGGAGAGGGAACCGTGCTGCTGCTTTATGGTGGTGAACGACTCATGGGTTTCCTTTGGTTCCGATGGCAGGGTCAGGTAAGCAGGCCGCGTACCCTCACTTGGATTTTAGGTTTTCTTAAATGGTGCCAGGTCCAGATCGTGGGAGAGGCTGGGCTGTGGATGCCTCATGAGGGACCGGGAGGAGACGGTTCTTTCTGATGGGACCGTCTTCCTTTCCCGGAACCCCTGTGTATCTGCTTGCTGCCGCCGCCATGGGTTATTGGTTTTGTGACTTTGCTGGAGTTTGGAAGCTCTTGTGGGAACTCGAATGCAGCGAGATCTAAATGGCTCTAGGGAATCTCCCCCTTCCTCAAAGAAAAGTGCTCTGATAAACGTTGTTAAAGGCCATTTTGAAAATGCTCATCTGCTGGCTGTACTCGGGGGCGAAACTGCTTTCCGAGGGTTTGGTGTCGCCATGTGTCCCCTGTTGTGGGGCCCGCCTGCCCGAGGCCAGTGGCCGTGGAGGGCTTTTCCTCGTGGCTCTGAGCGCAGGCACATTCCCGCTCCACTCCCACGGGCTAAGTGAATCACTCCCACGGGCTAAGTGAATTCTGGGCAGGGTCCCTCCCCGTGAGGGGCCAGGTTAACACCCTCCCTGGCTGTGTTAGTGGAAGCGGGAGACGGAGGAGAGAGGCCTCTTGAACGGAGACTGCACATCCGAACCAGACGGTCACCAGTTTCCCTCCATTCTGCTGCGTCCCTCCCGCCTCTTCGTCTTCCTCTTGCTTTCAGCAGCGTGGTAGCTGCCTTCTCACGGGCCTTCTGCTTTTAGTCTCGCCCTCCAATCCATTTGCCACATCCCAGCTCTTCTCCTGGAAACTCGAACAGACCCACTGCCCTCGGGGCGGCGCGCCTTTCATCTCCACTCTCCCGGCCCGCTCCTGCCCCTTGCGATCCGCGCTCAGTCCCACTGAACCTCCTGGGTTTCCAGAACCGGCCGCGCTCCCTCTCATCTCAGGATGTGGCACATGCTGCTTCCTCCCGCTTCCACCTGTTCGGGACTCAGCCAGGTCACCTCCTCCAGGAGGCCATCCCAGCCACACGAGGGCCCTGTCCTCAGCCACAGGCCTCTGGGATTGTTCCTGTCTTCCCCGCTAGGCAGAGCTCCTGCCGGCTGGGGAGCCACACCCAGCTGCAGAGGTTTTAGCAGCGGCGGGCTGCCCGGTGCCTGGGATGGGGTGGAAGGAATCATGAGATGAAGGCTGGGTACCTCTATCCCGAGATCCTGTTATTTCTAGGACTTCATTTTCTCTCGGTTTTAGAATGTTCTGGATCTTCAGTCCAGGTGCTCTCCCAGCTCTTCCCCACTGTCTGGGGTCCCCAAGACCACCCACTCCTCAGGATCCACTGGCAGCACTCATGGCCTCGGCGTAGAGCTGTGCTCACGGCCACGGTTTATTACCGTGAGAGGACGCAGAACGAGATCAGCACAGGGAACAGGTTGGGATGAAGTCTGGGGCAACCAGGCACCAGCTCCCAGCATCTCCTCCCAGTGGAGCACCCCAGGACATGCTGCCCTCCCCCAGCAATGGGCCGTGACAGCACGTGTGAAGTGCTGTCCACCAGGGAAGCTCAGTAGGGGCTCAGCGCCCAGGGTTATATTGGGGGCCGGCCATATGGGCTCCCTCTGCCAGGCATGAAGCAAAATCCCAGGCTCCCAGGAGGAAAGCAGGGGGTCAGCCCCAATCACCCTGTGTGTGCAACAGTTCAGGCCCAGGGAGCCACTCCGATCAGTTCTGGGAGTGGGGGACCCTCCCGACATCCACGTTCCCAGATGTCAGCCCAGGGCCAGCCTTGGAAGCTCTTCTGGGGCCGCAGTCTCAGGCCTGCAGCGGCCCCGTTCTGCACAGCCACCCTTCCCTGTCAGTGTCACGGGTAGTGGCCCGCCCCCTCCAATCCCCGTCTCCCGGCTCTGGGGAATGACGAGGTGCTCTGTCCTGTGGGTGGAGGCTGTGCTTTAGGACATGGAAAAAACGCACCCTGAGAACCATTAGAAATGAAAGGTTCGCTTCTTCCAGCTCCTTTAATATTAATGCCAGGTTAGCACTGCTGGGTCTAATGCAGTGGTTCTCAACCTGTGGGTCGCGACCCCTTTGGGGGTCGACCGACCCTTTCACAGGGGTTGCCTAAGACCATCGGAAAACACATATAATTACATATTGTTTTTGTGATTAATCACTATGCTTTAATTATGTTCAATTTGTAACAATGAAAATAGATCCTGCATATCAGATATTTACATTACGATTCATAACAGTATCAAAATTACAGTTATGAAGTAGCAACGAAAATAATGTTATGGTTGGGGGTCACCACAACATGAGGAGCTGTATTAAAGGGTTGCGGCATTAGGAAGGTTGAGAACCACTGGTCTAATGTTTTATTTTTATTTATTTATTTTTTTAAAATATATTTTATTGATTTCTCACAGAGAAGAAGGGAGAGGGATAGAGAGTTAGAAACATCAATGAGAGAGATCGACCAGCTGCCTCCTGCACGTCCCCCAGTGGGGACATGCCCGCAACCAAGGTACATGCCCTTGACCGGAATCGAACCTGGGACCCCTGAGTCCGCAGGCCGACACTCTATCCACTGAGCCAAACCGGTTCGGCAGGTATAATGTTTTATTAACAAGCAGCATTAATCTTCCTGAAGGACGGCGGAAATGCAATTACCAAGTTCTCTAACCTGAGCTCATTCTGTTCTGAAATATGAGGGTGGAATTCCAGCAGAGGGCAGCCTTGCTCCAGAGCCCGGCACATTCAGAGAGAGCGTTCTTGTCCATTTGCAGTTGAAAGGCCCGTGGCTTTGGACTGGGCACAGAGCCTCGAGTCTGGCCCTGGTCCTGGGCAGGGTGCTCGACTTCTCTGGGCCTCGGTCCCCCAGAGTGTGGGGCGTGGCGCAGTGGGACAGCGGCTTGTAAGTTGTGTCACGTGGGTGGTTGTCAAGTGTCGTCATTGTGAGGGTTACTAGTAGGTGGGAGCCTCACTGTCGGTGTGGTTGCAGGTGTTACTGACTCCCCGGGTCCTTACCGCCACGTTCTGGGAAGAACCCTCCCCACGTGGCCTCCCTGCCGAGGGCAGCCCCCGATGGACCAGAGTGGGGTGCATTGCAGCCGAGGGGCCTCTGCTTTGTGGCCCCGTCGCTTTGCCCAGCAGCATCAGGCCGAGTAAATGTTGGTTGAAAGACAGTCCTAGGATTGCGGAGCAGAGTGATGCTGTGACCAGCATGGGGGCAGCAGGGTGGGACCAGGTAGCTCATCGCTTCCAAAACTGCCCCAACCTGCCGGGGCCACCCAAGCCCATGGACTCAAGCCTAGAGTCGGGTCCGCTGTCATCTGGCTCCCGTGACTGCTCCAGGCTCGTCTCCCTTGTTGCCCACCCCAGCGCTCACACACCCTTCAGACAGGAAAAGGCCCCTGCTTTTCCCCACACGTCTTGTCCCTGGGCGGGGGTTGGGGGGCTCCTCCAGGGAGTGGCTCTCCCCGCAGCCGTCTCCATCTCAGGGTGTCCTTCGAGAAGCTCGGCCTCCAGAAACTCCCTGTCCATCCTGACCGCACCCCGTGGATCTGTCTGGATTGAGGCCTGAGCATCGCTTGCCCAATTCTGCCCTTCCTGCTCCTTGAGGCCCCTGGGCTCGAAGCCCCCTTCATGTCTGCCCTCCACGTTTGTGCCCCATTACCTTCCCGGGACCTTCCTCCTGTCTCATGAGTTGCCTGACCCCCGAGCACCATGAACTGCCTCTTGTGTGGGCTCGTATGGCTCGTTCTGACACCAGGTGCCCTTCACCATCACTGCGGAGGGGCAGGCTTTCAGGCCAATCACACAACTGGGGGGCATCTCTGGTTTGGCTGCCCCTGGGCTTGGGCTTCCTGGGGGCAAGGGGCGGCCTCCACCCCTCCCCTGGAATGTGCTGAAGGTGCTTCTGGAATGAATAAATCAAGAAAGGGAGGGTTCTGAGACTTAGGATGTGTTCACACCCACAGTTTTGATTGGCACCTGCTCTGAGGCAGCATGCCAGGCCCTGCCCATGGACAGTGGGAGCTGGTCACCTTTCCCTGCCTGCCCCGTCCTTCCTGCAGGGCAGCGGGGCGTCTGCAGGTGTCCTCTCCCCGCTGAGCCTAGTGTCCAGTGCCAACTGGAGGAGGCTGTGCCCACACCAAGTCAGGACCTGGAGTGACCATCGGGCTCCTTGCTCCGAGGTGAAAGGGCACCCGCCCCTTTTGACTTGGTCGCATTCTTCCGATGAGCAGCAGGCAGAGTCCCCATGGCTGCTTCCCATCTTCTGCGGGGCCTGCATGATGGCTGAGCCCCTGTGCGTGAGCTCAGGGCACGTGTGAAGACCCAGGTGATGGCCTCGCTGCTTTGCCTCCGAGCGGTGGCTTGTTTGCGACCCCTGCTTCTCTCTGCCGGCTCAGATAGTGATGCTGCGTATGTGTGCTCTGGTCACTTGCAGGGGACAACAGATGCTTCCTGTTCTCCATCTCCCCCAGCATGGCCGTGCACACCTGCACGGGCTACAACAACCACTACATGTACCTGAACCACGGGCAGCAGACCATCCCAAACGGACTGGTGAGGACTGGGGAAGGGCTGGGGACGTCCCACCTGAGTGATCCCGGTGGAGTCAGTCCTGATACCCTGGGAGCTGTGTGCATTCACTCACCCGCGTGCCCTGTGCCGCTCATTCTGCTCGGTGCCAGGGCCGCAGTGAGTGACAGGGAGGACAGAATTTACCTGGTGGAAGGACCGAGCCTCGGCTGGGGTGTTTTGGTGGCTTGTGTGTAATGGTGGATTTGGCCAATTTTCCTGGTAATCAGATGGCCCGTGGCCTTCGTGGCTGGACATGGTGTCAGTGTCAGACCTGTCACTGGCCTTGCTGCCCTGCCACGTGCCTGGGGGATGAGCCGAGGGAGGGGCCCAGCCAGGGCTGGCCTCCCTGGAGCCATGGGGAATTGTCAACAGTAACTCACAAAGCAGTGTGTGGGGCTCCAGCTGGGGTGACCGCACCTCCTGTCTGCTCTGTGCTCCAGCCTGGAGACTCGGCTACGGGAAGGGGAGAGTGAGGGTGAAGGCCAAGAGCTGGGGTGGGTGAGGGGGCAGGTGCCCATGCACACAGCAGCCCAGCACCTGCGGGCCAGCTAAATGTGGGTGAGAAATGTGCCTCTTACCAGCACTCCCGCCAATTTTTTTTCTCTGCTTAAGAAAAAGCTCGTATTGGGAAACTCCAGCCCTGGGTTTGCAAAGCCAGGGTCCCGGAAGGCTCGTCCCCCTGTCAGGATGGAGAGCACCCCCATGCTCTTTCCCAGGCTTGCTGCATGCCTGCCACGGGGCCACCTGAAGACCCCTGACACCCCCCAGAAAGGGCAGTTTGGTGACCACAAGGGCAAAGGCTTTGGTCTCAGGAGCAGCACCAAGTAGGTCCCCAGGAATCGCCAATCATCAGTCCGAGGGAGAGAAGCCACTGAGAATCGACTGCACTTTCTTGCTTTGGTCTCTTGCTCAAAAGTAGTTCCAGGCCACCAGGGCCACAAGAAGAGGTGGAGGTGGCACCAGACACGTGATCAGGGAGGTGGAGCAGCAGTTCTGTCCTCATCGCCAGGAGCTTAGAGCCAGCACTGTGGGGAGGGGCGGGGGGCGGTGGCAGAACAGCTCTAAGTCACTCCCCGGGCCTGTGTCACCCCCGGGCCTGCTTCCTGGTTTCCCTCCTTGGAGGTGACACACGGAGTGAGGGACTTACACCATCAGCGCAGTGCCCTGGTCTGTGCGGCACGAGCGTCCCTGCTGCAGGTTTTCCATGAAGTTCTCTGTGCCCTGACGTTGTGTTTCTGTCAGCCAGTGTAGCCCCAAGAGAAAGCCATGCGGGTGGGAGTCCGGACACCTCAGGGATTGTCCCAGTAACCGTGCTGGGATATGTAAATCGCACCAGTCAGTATATTTCACTTCTCATCCCGCGTCTCAGCCAGGTGGCCGAGGCTGATGTGGGCTCGGAGTCTGACATGCAGGCTGGGGAGATGCTGACGGCCTTCCCTCCGCAGGGCATGGGAGGGCAGCATCACTACTTCGGGCTATGGATCGACGTCGACTTCGGGAAAGGACACAGCAAGGCCAAGCCCACGTGCACCACGTACAACAGCCCTCAGCTGTCCGCCCAGGAGGACTTCCGGTTTGAGAAGATGGAGGTGTGGGCGGTTGGAGACGCCTCCCATTCCAAGCTGGTGAGCGTGGGGCATTTCTCCACTTCCTCAGCTTCACCCCTTTTGCTAGATGGAAGCATCTAGAGACAGTTTCTTCCACGTTTGTTTCCCAAATTTGCTGGCCAGAGGGATGCCAGTGGGGGAACAGCAGAATCCCCTTGGTGGGGGATTAGCAGAATGAACCACCGTGAAAGTGAGGCCTGCCCAAGGTGGGAACTGGGCTGTGTGAGGGGCCCCCATCTGCAAGATGAGGTGGGTTGGGGTGCCTTCTAGTCTGTGGTTCTGCAGTGAGTCATGGTTGGGCCCTCTGCCCCTTGTCACCTCCCAGCGATGGCATGCCAGGACAGGGAGACCACAGTGAGGGAGCCAGAGCCCCCACCACATTTCCTGTGGCAACAGTAGGCTGTTGGCCCCTCTAATAAGCTTGAAACATCACCTCCGGCTCTGGGCTGCACATCATTGGTCACTGAACACACCCATTTCCCTTTTTCCCAAGGCCAAAAGCCACAAGAGCATTCTGGATGCGGACCCTGAGGCCCGGGCCCTGCTGGAGATCAGTGGGCGGGGTCGCCACAGCGAAGGGTTCCGGCAAGCCCCTGACCAGGAGTGAGGAGGAGCCTGGACCGAGGGTGGTCCTGGAGCCGAGCGTGACCCCCTGGACAGAGCGCTCAGCCTGCAGACCTTCTCCCCATCCTGCGGGTGCTTGGCTTTAACCTAGAGCTGCCTGTTCGTATCCTGGATGTGCTGACTCAGGACACAGTCACCCCTCCGATGCCATACATTGATCAGGGGGTGTGACTCCCAGAAATCCTGTGTGTCAAATTAGCAACTTCAGTCTTGCACTTGGTAAATTTTGTCTCACTGAAGTGCAAAGACACTGAGACACTTGAGACCTCTGTGGGCATGTGGGTTCTGTGTGTAGGGGATTTGGCCCGCTCGGGGGTCACTTGGCCTCTGACCAGGCTGTCACAGTTAAAGTGCCTTGATGTTCCATTTCGACTGGTAAAGGAGGCATTTGCATGGGAATCGCGATGCTTTTTTATGTATTAATGGGGGGAAATGGCCGAGGATTTCGGAGATAGCAGCAGCCTGGGTCTTCAGTAGGTGTCTGTGAGGGTCCACTTCTGCCTTCTCAGCTGTTTTTAAATGAGTCTGTGCCATGAGCAAGTGGGTTTTAAATGAGTCTGTGCCATGAGCAAGTGGGAAATGAGCGCGACAGAGAAGTTACGTTCTGTTACTAATTTATAAATTGGTGGTACCTTGGCAGCACTGGCCTGGGTTTCGGGCCTCCTGACACGCACCTGTCAGTCTCACCTCCCTGCCCAGTGCTGCTCCCACAGGGGAGGGCTGGCTCCCTTCAGACAAACCCCAGTGACCCTGAAATGCTAACGACCACCCCAGTGACCCTGAAATGCTAACGACCGCTTAGCTTAGGTGGGCTGGGCTTCCGAGCAGAGCTGCCGTCTCCCAGGCCTGAAAAAACTAAACACCCCATGCAAATCCCCGCCTTCCCGGAGCTGTGGGTGCCCCTCTCAGACATGTCACTGCGTCCTCGAGTCTTTTGCTCTGAACTCTGACCTTTTAGAACAGCATTTGCCCTGATTATAAGCCATAGCAAACGGAGCTGTTTGCGTTTTGTAGGTTCTTCACTTTCTACCAGGAGGCTCATCAAACTTTGAGCAGAAGGCCCTGCAAATTAGCCTCCCAAAGAAAAGCACCCACTCGGACGGTGTGCGGAGGGGCAGCGGCGTGACACGCACAGATGCAGTCACGCTTGATGTTCCTTATAAAAAGCCAGTTTCTAACAGCTTCTCCGGTACCTTATGTGACTTCCTCACAGATGGATTAGCAGTTGCAGGACCCTGGGACCCTCAGACATCCTCACCATAAATCTGAAGAATTCGGTCTCAAATCTTCAGTTTGTTGTGGAATGTTCTTTTCTCTTTATTTTTTATAAAATGCAATGAAATACCTCATTAATAAAAGGTCCATTGGTGTCCGTACCTGGAGTACCATTTCCTGCTGCCTCTGTCTGTGGCTGTTGGGAGGCGGAGGTTTTGTCTGCCTGCGTGCTTCCCGCCTTGCGCTTGGTCTGATGAGAGGGCATGCAGGTCAAAGGGGGTTGTGTTTCCCGAGCTGCACACTTCCAGGAGGGAGGGAGGGTGCCGGACCGGGTGCATGGTTACCTGGGGGGCGCTGCCCTCACGGTGGGCCTGCGGGTGTGAGCACACCCTGATACAGTATCGGTTGTGGCCGGGCCGCTGGCCGGACGCACCATGCTCTACCTGGGACCAGGAAGCCTGTGATACTAGTCTTAACAAATGTTCTTTTATGATCGGGAATAACAATTCAGGTTGTAAGGACCAGTGGTCTCTGTAAGTGCAGACTGACCAGCACCCAGAAAGGTGCTAGAAGGAAGAGGTGAAAAATGCAGTTCCTGATACCAACATGCCAACTATTTTTCCCATCATAGTTTTTAATTTAAAAAATTACCACATGTGTACATGGTAAAAAAAAAAAAAAAAAAAAAGGCCAAAATAGAAAGGGAAGTCTTCCTCCTGCTCCCTTCCCAGCATTTCCTTCCCAAGAGGCAAAAGCAAGGCAACTCCTTGCACACTCAGCTTGACTGTTTTCCACGCTGGTGTGCCCTCACTTTTTATTGGGTGGAGATGGCTCCATATTCACCCATCTGTCATCTTTGTTTTCATTGACTGTGTCATGTCCCATTGTAGGGATGCGGCATCATTTCTAGGGTTCAGCCATCCCGGCTGCGGAACGTTTGGTTTGTAGCTCACTGTGGCTGCAGCGACTATCCCAGGGGTGGGCAAACTTTTTGACTCGAGGGCCACAATGGGTTCTTAAACTGGACCGGAGGGCCGGAACAAAAGCATGGATGGAGTGTTTGTGTCTGTCGTCTTTGTTTTCATTGACTGTGTCATGTCCCATTGTAGGGATGCGGCGTCATTTCTAGGGTTCAGCCATTGGGCTGGATCTGGCCCGCGGGCCGTAGTTTGCCCACGGCTGGACTATCCTATGTGTCTTGGTGTGATTTCTGTCTGGAGGATAAACTCTTAGAAGCTGAATTGTTGGATCAAAAGGCACATGAATTTTTATTTAGATATTAACCAATTAACCTTTCGAGCTCAATTTATATCTTTAACATATCGGAGTGCTTGTTTGCTGTATTTTCATCAACATGATATTAAGATTTAGTTTTTGTTTACTTGATACACGAAAACTAACTTTATTTTCTGTTTCTTTCATGTGTGACAGTGAGCAGCTCAATTTTTTAAAGCCATCTGTACGATGTCCTTTATCTGGTTTTCCAGGCTGTGGGTCTTCTCTAATTGATTTGCAAGAGTGCTCTCTTGAATGAGGCAAATTAGCATTTGACGTGTATGGCAAATATTTTTTCCAGTTTGTTCAACTTTATTTTTCTTTACATAATTTTTGCATTTTGTGCCATCACATTTGCCAGCACTTCCTCTTACGGCTTCTGAGATTTGAAGTTTTTCTCCACTTTTAAATTAAAAAAAAACACCTGTTTTCAACTACTACTTTTGTGCTTTCTATTTTCACGTCTACATCTTTGAACCATTCAAAATGTATTTTAAAATAGACTTCTATCTTACCCCAAAGTAAATTCCAGTGCCTTTTATATTAAATGGTATGCCTCTTTCCTAGTGACTTAAAATGCTCCTTTCTTCTTAACTGAATTTATGAATGAACTTAGATTTTTGTCTCATGTTTTAATTATTGGAGTTTTATGATAAAAAGATGTAAGAGCTATTCCGCTATGACTACTGTTTTTTTGGAATTTTCCTCCATATGCTTGCCTGCTTATTTTCCGCCGCCCTTGGGAACACTTTATTTCTATAAAATCTGATAGCACATTTTCGAGATAGCATCAAATATAGATTGCTGTAGGCGGAACTGACACTTGGCTAAAAATTTATGATTCTTGCTCTCCAAGAACAGGAATATCTAAGTTTTCTATATAAAGTTTTGTTGTCGTTGCTGGCACTGTAAGGGGATTTATTTTTTCTAAGATGATTATTGGAACATGGAAAAGTTCTTAATTTTCCCACATAGTTTGTACCCAGTTACCGTGCTTTTATCCAGTGGTCCTCAATCCTGAGCCTGCAGCAGAATCATGGGGGCTTCTCCAAATGCAGGTGGTGGAGCTCCACCCCTAGCGTTTGACTCAGTGGGTCTGGGAAGGAGGGAACCAAAGAATTTATATTTCTAATAAGATTCCCAGGTCATGCTGATGCTTCTGTTTCTGGGGCCTCCCATTGAGAAGCACTGTTGTGCATTGTTGTTTTTTTATCCTTATCCGAGGATATGTTCATTGATTTTTAGAGAGAGTGGAAGAGAGAGGGAAAGACACAGAGAGAAACATTGATGTGAGAGAAACACATCAATTGGTTGCCTCCTGGGTGTGCGCCGACCAGGGGCCCGGGCCAGGGAGGAGCCTGCAACTGAGGTAAGTGCTCTTGACGAGACTCGAACCTGGGACCCTTCAGTCCGCAGGTCGACACTCTGTCCACCGAGCCAAATGGGCTAGGGCAGTGGTCGGCAAACTCATTAGTCAACAGCTAAATATCAACAGTACAACGATTAAAATTTCTTTTGAGAGCCAAATTTTTTAAACTTAAACTATATAGGTAGGTACATTGTTATTAACTTAATTAGGGTACTCCTAAGGCTTAGGAAGAGCCACACTCAAGGGGCCAAAAAGCTGCATGTGGCTCACGAGCCGCAGTTTGCCGACCACAGGGCCTAGGGCATAAGACTTCTATTTTTGTCCCCCCCAGCTTTACTGGGATATAATTTACACAGAACATTGTGAAGGTTTAAGGTATACATGTGTGATTGCAGGCATTATGATTGCATACCTGGAAATAAGGATAATTTCCCTACTCTTCTGTAATCTAGACCTTTTATTCCTTTCTCTTGATTAAGTGTATCAGGAAATGTTTTGAGAACTTTAAATGTAATGATACATCCTTCTCATTTCTGATTTTAATGGAAATACATGTAGTCTTCTATCATTAAGCATGATGCTGGCTTTTTTGAGACATTTCATATAAAGGAAGTAATTATTTGTATTTATATTAGAGTTTTTTTCAACAGATATTGAATTTTTTTCAGTTTTTTTTTTTTTAGCACCCATGGTTTTCTTTCTCAGAGTTATTAAAGAATAGGGTTTGAAATCTTGAGCTATCTTTGTATTTCAATTCACTTTTCCAATGTGTTAATTCAGTTATAAATTCAGTATGTGTTTTGTACTTTTGTAGCAATGTGTATAAATGAGTTGGTCTATAGTTTTTTGTTTTGTTTTGGTCAGATTTTATGTAAACCATGCTTTAGTTTTAAAGTTATGCTGGCTTTACAAAAATAATTTAGAAACTTTCCCTTTTCCAGGTTCTAGAAAATGCAAATGAAAGGAGTTTCTTAAAGTTAGGGTAAAATTCATCTGGTACATTTTGATTTGGTGGGTGAGGGAGGACAGGGTTAACTCTTGATGACCTGATCTATTTTTTTATCATCTGGGTTGTTTTAAATCTCTACCAGGATCAATTTTGATAATTTTTATATTTCCATTTTATTTAAATCTTCAAATTAATTTATATAGAATTGACTAAAATATTTGAAATCTTTTGTGGGTTTTGTCTCTTGTTTTCCTTTCATTTTTCCTAGATTGTTCTACCAATTTAAAAAATTAATTTTGCTTTCATATTATTTCCTCCTACTTAAAGTTTATTTTTGTCAGTTTTTTAGAGTTGACTTAAAATTACTAAAGAAGAACGAAAGTAAATGAATATATAGAGCTATTACTCTTCCTTTGAATTCTGCTTTATTTGGCAGTATTGCATAAACACAATTTCTGTGGAATTTTAGTACATGTCTAGGTTTGTATAACTACCACTACAATCACTCCCCTCCCCCAACCTCCTTCAAGTTTCCCCTATTCTCCTAATCTTTTTTATTTTTTTGGTTAATCCTCACCCAGGAATATGAAA